AAAAAAAAAAAAAAAAAATTAATTAAAAAAATTAAAAAGAAACAATTTTTTTAAAAAAGAACTTAAAAGTACCCATCATGTTAAACCAAGGGCACTGGACAGTTTTCGTTTGATATGACTGACCCGGGTCACATTCCACTCTGAATGTGGAGTGAGGTTCACTGTGTTATGCACATAGGAAATGCAACCACATGGTTCTCCAACAAAATATAATACATATAATACATACTTCAGTGAGGGCCCATCAACAATAAGGAAGGTATAAAGTATCTAAAAACAAACATAAGGGCAGGCACAGTGGCTCATGCTTATAATCTCAGCACTTTGGGAGGCTGAGGCGGGTAGATCACAAGGTCAGGAGTTCAAGACCAGCCAGGCCAACACAGTGAAACCCCATCTCTACGAAAAATACAAAAATTAGCTGGGCATTGTGGTGGGCACCTAAGGCAGGAGAATCACTTGAACCCGGAAGGCAGAGGGCAGAGGTTGCAGTGAGCCCAGACAGCACCTCTGTACTCTAGCCTGGGCAATAGAGCAAGACTCTGTCTCAAAAAGAAAAAAACAAAAAAACAAAAAAAGAACAAACATAAGGAATGTGAAAAACTTAAGTGAAAAGCTGCAAAATACTAAGGGACAGGAAAACTCATTATTACAATAAAAGCAGTTTTCCCTAAATTAATCTATAAATATAATGCAACACCAAGTAAAAACCATACTTTTAAAAAAGATTACAAAACAAATCCAAAATTTACCTTGGGACAAAAATGTGAGAAATTCCTAGAAATTTTTGAAAAGAATTAAAGGAGAGAGGTGAATAAGAAGTGACTAGTCCCGTCAAATTATAAAACTAACTATACCAATTAAGGCAGAATAGAGCCAGCATGGAATAGAGATCAAATCCAAAAAGAGACCCAATGGCAGGCTGCATTTCTGAACCACAGGGAAAAGAACAAATTATTCAATAAACAGTATTAGAACTAGCAACTAATCTTCACATGTACCCCAAAACCTAAAATGCAATAATTAAAAAAAAAAAAAAAAAAGGAAAAGAACTAGCAACTAATTTCATTGGTTACCAGACCCATGTAAATAAATTTTAAAAATTTATTTACAGCTGGAATTCATTTTGGTGTCAAGAATGAGGTAAGGATCTATCTTAACTTTTTTCCAAAGCACTAAATTAAAAATAACACATTAATAGTCTAGAAAAATAAAGAGTTGGACATTTTTATAAATGTTTACTTTATATGTGGAAACAAGCTTTTAAGTGGTTCTTATTTTTTCTAACATATGACCATAAATATTTTTAAATAAATGGCAGTCAGCCCATAATTCCTTCTGGACTTTCAAGACTTTGAACATGTA